CCTTCACTGTGTAAGCCAGAGCTCCAGCACCAATCAGCAGCTTCAAGCCGAGTCCTGCGCCCCGAGGTCCTGAAGACATCCTGCCTGCGATCTGCCGCAGCTGCTGCAGAAAACCCTGAAACACAAGGATTTCAGTAAATCTCCCCGTGCTCGCTCACGCAGGACACTCATGGTTAAAACTCAGTGACCTTGACTCCGAGTGGACAACCCCCCTCCCTGTATATCTACAAGGCCTGCATGTACCCGCCACAGAAACCTCGTTAGAGGACGCTCAGATTCTCTCTAAAAATAAACTGTTTTAAAAAAGCAACAAGGATGCTAATAACACAAGGCTGGACACGTCTGATCACCTGTCTGAACTTTAAGGACTAAGTTTAAACTCGGCTCATGCAAAAAGCACAAAACATAACTCGACTTAAAGAGAAGCAGCTTCTTTGGTTTGATGCGCTAGCTGCGGGTTAATTAGCCTGTGTAACATCAGGGCCTGCAGACTCACCTGCCTGCACGCCTGATGCACCTGAGTGTGTTACGCATGCGCAGAATTAAGTAACTGCTTCTAGAAACTTGCAATATTTTCAGTGAATTTACTTCTAATGCGTATACATGTGTTAACTCAATTATTTCATAATTGAGAGAGTTTTAAAGGGACCCCGGCGTCATGTTCGACTCCCACTCTCTACCTGAGTGTAAAGCTAGCTAACCGGCATCGAGTGGCTCTCACGGCCTCACCTGTGCCTCATTAGTGCCGTCAGGCTGGATGGAACCTGGCTGACATGCTTACATCAGACTCACGTGTCAGACCTAAAAGCTTTTAAAATGTCACCCAGGTGCGTGCAAAGCGCGGGAAACCCGGAGCGGTTGAACCTGAGCTGAAGGCAGAAAACTTCCCTTTAAAGCCGAGTTTAAACGGGAGACTCACAAACACTCACCCCGGGATCTTTATTCGCCATGCTCGTCCTCTCCGCCTGTTAGAAAACCAAGTGAAGAAGACAAGGTCGCAAGTGATGACGCGTTTCCGGGATTGGGGGTAACTTGGGAAATGTAGTTTTTAAGAGTATTGGGGCATAGTCTCTATGTATATATATTTAAAGATAATAAAATGTTTTAAACCCACCCAAAGTTCTGAGGATGGAAATTAAGGATTCGCTTTTCATTTTTGCCATAATCTACAAAATAAAAGCAAGAAGGATTGTGAGCTATAAAGTACAAAGTTATAAGAGGTAAAGACAGACTACAGCGTCTGATCTCACGGATGCAGTGATGCCGGTCCTGAGCAGCAGGGGGCAACAGAGGGCAGCAGAGCTCCGGGGTGTCGGCGGCTCCTCAAACCGCAGGAGCACCTGCTGCACATAAAACGGTTATTTTCACACTGAAGTTCACTCAAGTCTTTGTTTCCGTGGTTTGAACACAGTGAAGTCAGCCACTGAAATGTTTCCGTTGTGCTTTCAAGAAGAAATTTTGCGACAGAGTTCAAGGAATTAACATCAAAATCCTGCTGCTGTGCACACAAACTGGACATGTTCACTCACCTTCCTCTAAAGGATGAGAAAAAGTTAGTTCCACATTTTAAACCAATACTAGTCAGAATAATGACTAATAACAATCATATAAAAGTATTTAAAAAGCAATCAGAAAATAAAGGCTGACACTCAAATAAAAATGTGACCTTCACTAATATATTACACTGTCATGTTTAAGCTTTATTCTATTACACTGTTATCACTACGGGTCAACACACATCAATAAAAATAGCACTGCTGACTTTTCTTATCTCTGCCCTGCATCTGTATTTTTTACTTCCTTCCAAAAATGAAACTTAAAGGCACAATTATGAGCTGAGGTAAAACTATGACTTCGCAAATCAAGCTAATGAAGCGACGTATAGAGGATAAATAAACTGGACATATTTAGAAAAATCATTAAACAATTAAAATTGGGAGTTAATAAAAGAAGAATCTGAAACTCTTACATCTTTAGAAACAGAAAAACGTAGCTTTTTATTTGAAAAGTGAGGAGGAAGCTCACACCTGCTCTCTTCAGACTTTGAAACAAGCTCAAATCTCAAACAACTAAAATCAAGCAAAGAATTCAGATCATAAAAAGGAAACAGACACACCCCTAAAAGCACAAACTTTAAGCCTTAATGCAATTTAAACAGTTGTGTTATAAAAATTATGACACTTGTGTAGATGTTATGAAGGAGAAAATGATCTATAAAGACAAAGAAAAGTATCAGGCTGTGAACACGCTTATTTCTGCTGTAAAATTTGAACATGGAAGTCCCTGCTGGAGCCGCTGGTGTTGGTGTTTTATTTTTCAGCCTCTGAGGGTCACTGCTGAGAAGACTCACTCAGCAGAGAACAGACTGAGAGCGCTGTAGGTATTACAGGTACTGCACTGCAGTGGTTTGTATCATATCTATCTAATAGACTCCAGTTTGTGCATGTAAATGGAGAGTCCTCTTCACACACTGAGGTTAATTATGGAGTTCCACAGGGTTCAATGCTAGGACCAATTCTGTTTACATTATACATGCTTCCCTTAGGCAGTATCATTAGAAGACATAGCATACATTTACACTGCTATGCAGATGACACCCAGCTCTATCTGTCCATGAAGCCAGATAACACACACCAATGAGTTAAACTGCAGGAATGTCTTAAAGACATAAAGACCTGGATGGCCGCTAACTTTCTGCTTCTTAATTCAGATCAAACTGAGGTTATTGTACTCAGCCCTGAAAAGCTTAGAAATATGGTATCTAAGCAGATTCTTACTCTGGATGGCATTACCTTGGCCTCCAGTAACACTGTGAGGAACCTTGGAGTCATTTTTGACCAGGACATGTCCTTCAACGCACATATTAAACAAATATGTAAGACTGCGTTCTTCCATTTGCGCAACATCTCTAAAATTAGAAATATCCTGTCTCAGAGTGACGCTGAAAATCTAGTTGATGCATTTATTACTTCCAGGCTGGACGACTGTAATTCATTATTATCAGGATGTCCAAAAAACTCACTGAAAAGCCTTCAGCTAATCCAAAATGCTGCAGCAAGAGTCCTGACAGGGACTAGAAAGAGAGAGCAGATTTCTCCTGTTTTGGCTTCCTGTTAAATCCAGAATTTAAAATCCTGCTCCTCACATACAAAGTACTGAATTATGTCTGTCATGGCAGATGACCGCCCCTCCCTGAGCCGTGTTGTGCTGGGGATTACTTCCTTTTAAAAGGGTTTTTTCCTTCCCACTGTTGCCAAACTCTTGCTCATATGATGTCATGTGATCTCTGGGGCTTGTTCTCTATTATTATAAGGTCTTAACTTACAATATAAAGTGCATTGAAGCAATTGCTGCTGTGATTTGGTGTTACACAAATAAAATTCAATCAAGCTGAATTAAACTGAACAGAACTGAATTGACACTCTTGAGTCTTCCGGCTTTTTCTGCTTTTCATGAGCTATTTTTCTTCTTCATTATCGTGACCACAGAGGATCTGAGTGGGTTGAACTCTTTGCCCTACTCAGTCTCATTAATCAACAAGAACATGTTCGAACAGTGTTTTTCTTCATCCTGCTCCTCTTCTTCCTCCTCGTCTGCCACCTCTTGCTTGCAACTTCCTCCTCTGCCTCTCAGTCTGGGTCCACCAGCTCACCCCAAACTTTAAAAAGGCAACAAGTGTGAACATTTCTGTGTCACTGTGTGAAACTGAAAGAAAAGGCATCTGTGCTGACACTTTATCGCCCGTCAGCTGTGGTCACTGTTCTGCATTACAGTGCAAAATGTCTGCTGTTTAAGGAGAATGAGTGTAAAGTCCTGCAGAGGCTACAGACGACTGAGAGGAGGATGAGGTTTAAATTAGGATAAAACTAAATGAGACACAAAGCAAAGAGAGTCATTTAAAGTGGATCATGTGACACAGCATGTGGTTATATGATATTTAGGTGAAAATGAGCATCCAGGTGTTACCCAGCTGTCAGCCTATGAGGCTCCAGCTAATCGTGACCCTGGAACTGGAATCGTGGTTAAGAAAAGAAAACGGACGTTACAGTTGAAAATGATTAAAAATGCAAACTTTTGATTTGCAAAAACATACCAAGTGAATAGTTTTCAAATATAGTTTATGGAATATTATGAAAAAGTTGCTTCACCACACCGCCCACGGTGCCTTGTTGTGCTATTTAAAGATGAACTTAGATTCTTGTGGAGCTTTTTGACATGTAGCGTCCATCAGTCCATCCCAGCTGTCACAGGCAGAAGGCGAGCTACACCCTGCACAGCTCACCAGCTGAGCTAACAAGCACGTCTCTGCAGTGTGGGAGGGGAACAGGCCACACAGACACCACCAACCAAGACCTCCACGCTGTGAACTTATAGCTTATATAGTTCCTCTAGACTTTCTGTAACGTGTTCTTTCTTACGTTTCATCTGTTTATGCTCTGATTGGTGGATCCGTGGTCAGGCTATGAACACACATTAAAGATTCAAACACACCGAACAGTCAGTCGAAATTTGTGGACAGATTTCAGCATCAGCGTCTTGCTGCCTGCTTATATTCAGGACAGCTGTGATATTGTAAATGAGACTTCTTATTGAGACAAGATAAACCTTTATTAGTCCCACGCGTGGGAAGTGGACATTTCAAAGTTGAGAGCAGCAAAGATGAAGAAAAACAATAGAATAAAATAAGATAAAATAGAATAAAATAATAAAATACTGACCAAGAATTTACCAATCAGAGCACAGAGATGAAAACACATGATGCCATAAACGAGTCTGTAGTTACTGTGTGTTTTATAAGTTTTGTGGAGTGATGGATGCAGAGTGTTTCGTGTGCGCAGCAGAGACACAAACACGCGGCTGACTGACGGAAACGATGTTTTTATGATTTCTTCGGACAGCCTGGAGTTGTTATAACTCTGCTGTGACGTCTCCGTGACGATGGTTGTGATATAAAACCCGTGGAGCTACTTTCTGGTGATGCCTGGTGTTTGTGAGACTGCAGCAGTGCGCAGACTCGTGCCTCGAGGCTCTGCTTTTGTGTTTTAGTTGCACCGGAGCTCGGGTTGCCTCCGTCGGTCGACCGTGAGGTTGCAGCTGCAGTTGCTGCCGTCACGGCTCGCTGATTGGCTGCTCGCTCAGTTCCTCCTGAGGAAATCACTCCTTTTATAGTTAACGGAGTGCCGCGCGGTTGTTTTCCGGGTTCACACTCGCGCAGCATGTAGAGAAGGCGGACCGCCGGGAGACACCTGGACCACCGCGGACACACCGGAGCCCGGACGCACGGCATCGATCCGCAGCTATCGATCAGCTATCAGTGAAGGTGAGGAGGGCAGAGGGGGGCCGTGTTGTGGGGAGAGGGAGGGTGGTGGTGGATTTGCAGGGAGGAGGGGGGCGACCAGTGCTCTGGGTGGATCCTGGTCTCAGATCAGACATGTCAGGTCCTGCAATCTGCAGACTCCGAGAAAAACTCCGCAGGGTAAAAAGTTCCTCTTCCTGCAGCCGCAGCGCCTCTGTCCGCGGATCACGGCTCAAATGCGCCTCAGCGCCAATCTGGAGCTCCGTGGCGCTCCGGGCGAAGCGGCGTGTGTGTGCCGCGGGGAACGAGCCGCTCGGTTACGCGTTTTTACGCAGACAGAGCCGGAGCCGCTGGCACGCGCTGCTTCCGGTCAGCCCGACTGTCGGGCGGCGCGAGGAGCTCTGTGATCACAGTTTGACGCAGCAGACGAAGCTCCTGAAGCGGGCTCACAGCTCTGAGACTCCCTGAAAGAGGAGCAGAGTCTCCGCTGAAAGTGCGGAGGAGAAAGGAGAAGCGCGCACTGATGAGTGAAACTGTCAGCATCATCATGGCCGACTCCGTGTTTACTGCACAGCAGCTCCGTGTCAGCTGCACATCACTGTTTATGGATCCTGATGGAATCCAGTTAAACTCTTACTGTTTAAAGCTGTGTTTGAGCTTCATTTATCAAACACGGGCGTAAAACCTGACAACCATCAAACAGCAGACACGTTCAATCCACTGATCTTCACCAAAACACCAGCTGCAGATTATGAAACGATATAAACTCTCTTATCTGTGTAAAGTGTCCCAGCTGATGAGCTTCAACTTATGTTCTCCTAAATTTACTAACCTGCTAGTTTAACTCGCACCTCTAAAAGTGAGCTTAAGTCAGTTTTTGAGGCAGTGAGTTTATTTTATTAGAAAATGTCCTGAAATAAAGTTTAATAAACTGCTTTAAACTTAAAATATACAAACGTTTGAGGTTTACTTGTATTCAGTGTTTGAGTTTCTTCGTTAGCTGTAAAAACGAAAGTCATATTAACTGATTCTATATTAAGCAGATGTAACTTTCGACCCTTAAGTACTTAAGTAAATATAAGTAACTACGACTCAATGACGCTGACATTACTGATGTTTTAAGTAAAGCCAACTTCTCAGTGTTTGGTTTTAGGTGATGTGAAGTGCATTAGTTGATACCAGTGTCTAATATTTAGACATGATTTGTATGACTTGTCGTGCCTCTGCGGTCCAGCGGTTAACACCTTCACCTCACGGACTGATGTCCCGCTCGATCCTGGGAGGAGACACAAACTCGGCCTTTATTTAGTGTAAAGTCTTTAACTCAGAGCTCTTTAGCCGTTGTTCTCTACATTAAGTCGACGTAACTCACAGGTCGGCACATTTTGAAATAAAATGTGCCGACCTAGAGTAGTCTGAAGCCGAGCTCTTTTATTTTGGGATATCTTTTAACGTCACTTCAGTTCTGCACACTGAATAAACCAGCTGGTGTAACTCGGCTGCTTTAAGCGGGTAAGATGATGTTTTCTGAGTCGTTTTAAATGAAGCCATCTCACAGTGAATGTTGGATCAAATCTCCAGCAGGGAGGAACATCTCACGCAGCAAACACAAACAACTACATTTTTAACCAGAACAATCTGGTTTATGTGCACATCAGCAGAGTTTGGAGGAAGTTCGAGCTGTTTCACTTAAGTATAATTAGAATCACCACCAAGCAAAAATAAGTTGGTGCACAGCGACGCTGAACTTTGAGACCTCAGATGCGTTTTATTGCAAATGCTTCGACATTTGAGTCGTCGTCATTTCGTTCTCTTCTGCCTGAATATTTCTGCTCTCCTGTGTTTCATGTCAGCTGAGAGTCACCGACAGGTGATCACAGCTCGGTGTGGCTGCTGCACGGACTGATGGTGGCAGAGCTTCGTGCTGGCAAACAGTAACTGACAGATAAATGCAGGCAGTGATATACTCGAGTACAGTGGTACTATCAGCACAGTGTAAATTAGTCGTGAAGCTTTCAGGAGAAAAACATTTTCTCAGTTTAACTCGTTGAATGTCAGGATTCAAGGGTTTGATGCTTTTCTCTGATGGTAAATGTGTAAAATCTGTAAAAGAGTGTTTTTGGTACCTCAGGCCAAACCAGAGCCTCAGACTGTCCTCACATCAGCACAAACAGCCTCTGTGCCTCCATCCTTGTATAACTCCTCCATCCTCTAACATCCAGCAGTCTCGCTGTTTGTGGTTCACATCCACATGCTCTGAAAAGGTTTCTCTCAGAGTTTGAGCTGTTTTGGCCCCGTGTTAGCTTTATTCACCTGCTCCAAACAGACTTGGAGCCTGAAACCTGTGCAGGATTACCAAAGTCTACATCAGGGTCAAGCTGCTAATTTTGTGAAACGTGTCAGTTTGGAACGTCTTAATGTCAAGTTTTGTTTTTGTTGACTGGTTCTTCTGTGCCACGTGCCGCAATTCCTCTAATGCCCACTGGAGGCTCCAGCAGTGAGACTCTCATGTTAAAACTTTTCCGCCTGATACCAAAACTTAGCTTCACCTCAGCTGACCCGAGTTCCTGAACTTCACTGCTGGACTGTGTTTGTGTTGTGGGAGGCTTTAGTGAGATTATCTGACCACTAATGTAACTGCAGTGAGGTTAATGCACTGAGAGAATACCAAGTCTGAGCTTCGGTGTTGCTGAGTGTAGGATCTTAATCAGATTTGGTTGGATGCAACACTCAGAACGCCGCCCTCCATCTTTTATATACAGTACTTGCAGTAGGCACGCCCTGTCCAGCTTGTTTGGGCGGCGACTCGTCTGCGCTGGTGGTTGGTTGAAAGAAAGTGATGTTTCCCCCACATCACAGGCTCAGTTTCCTGCTCTGAGTCTGAAGTAAAGACCTGGCGGGGAAAATGAAGCGCACACTCATTTCTAACGAATCTGCTTCAAACTGTCGGGATGAACGGTTCCTCATAAAGAATTTTCTGCAAACCACATGTTCCTTAAAACAACATCACATTTCAGCGGGTTAGTTATTAATGGAGGGGAAGATTTGTTAATTTTAGCTCAGCTGCTTTAAACACCCACTTAGCTCCCAACTGACCAAACACCGAACAGAAAACTCCGTTATTAGCACTTTAAAGAAGTAAAACAGGACGTCTGACTGGTTTTTATATTCAACTTAATCACTGATACCCGCCACAGTTCATTCAGCATAAGAGGAACTTTAGTTTGACACCAAGCAGAGAGAAGCAGCTTCACACTCTGACATCTCATTTATTTCTGCACAGCACGACACATGATCGAGGATATCTTTACAGCTTGTGAATATTCTCAGAGATTAACAGAGCAGCAGACTCAGATTGAGGATAAATAAAGAAAAGACTTTTATAAATGTATCACGTGTATTATTCTGGTCTATCTGTCAGCAGATCAGTACATTTACCAGCTGGGACTCTGCAGAAAGACTTCAGTGAGAATGTGAGGTTTAGCACATCAGTGTAGGTGAGGTTTTTCTCCTGTGTCGGCTGCTTTGTGCTCCGTCACACTTGTAGATCAGGAGACGGCTTCAAAGGTGTTATAATAAGAGGTGATTGCAGAGAAAGTTTACAAGAATGTGCTGAAATGAACTTGAACTTTGCACACCAGTGTGTGAATGGGTGGATGACTGGATATGTAAAGCGCTTTGGGGTCCTTAGGGACTAGAAAAGCGCTATATAAATACAGGCCATTTACTACACGGGCAGGCTTTAAGCGACTGAAGCTGTGCCGCAGATAAAGAGGAAATCGCCAAGGATTAGAGGAGCAGTTCACGTAAATGCTCAGAGTTTCATGTGAGCGCTGTGGAAACTTCCTCTGCAGCTAAATGTGAGCTTGATGAAACATTAAGAGGTTTTCTGTCGTTGTCAGAAGAAGACGAACTCAGAATAGATGTTTTGGTTTGGGTATGTGTTATCGGTGCAGCTTGGACTTCTTATTTTCACCCAGTGTCTTTCTTACCTGACCCGAGCTGCTCGGTCTGCGTTACTTCCTCTGTTTTTAAATTTAGGCCAAACTTTCAGAGACTTCATCACTTCCTCTTTTGACTGTTTTCAACAAGCAGGCGCTGCTTCCAGTTCAGCTTGCAGCCCGCAAACGCAACGCAAGCAAACGTTTTCTTTCAGTTTGAATTGGTTTGCAGCTGAAACTTAAAGTCTGACAGAAAGCTTCAGTTTCCTCTGCAGCAGATTTCACACAAACGCACCGTTTCTCCAGTAAAACCCACTCTGTGTCACCCACTGTCCGTTTGTTGTGTTTCCTCTCAGGTAGAATTTAGGTTCCACTTCCACCTAATGGAGACATGCACTCACCAGACACTTTATTAGGAACAGCAGTGAAATCGTGCAGCAGCTCTGCAGATACTCAAACTAAAAACTCCAGCAGCCAGTGAGGCTGTCGCTCCTGGACAAGAACATCAGATGTCGTTCATCTGAACAGAGAACCAAAACCTGCAGCTTGTTTCACATGTGGTGTGACATCAGCAGCAGTAAATCTGAATGCTCAGCATGAATGCTGCCTGTCAGCTGGGCCTGTCAGACATGTGAGACGGTTAAAAACACTGAAATTACAGAAAATGTGTCCCAGAGTCTCTGACTGATGTATAGTGAACAAACAAAGTGACGTCCTTCTTTTTAAACAGCAGCAGTGGAGTAAAAACTGATTTCACTCCACGTTAGCTTGTGTCTCAGTGAGAGACTGTAAATAAAGGATGGATGTGGCCGGCGTTACACATTGTTGGTTGGAGTTCACATTTTGAAGCCTTAGCGGTGATGTTTTGTCTGCTGCTGTGGTTTTAATGAAGCCCCGAGTATCCATATTTGGACGAGAGGGTCAAGCTAAGGTGAACTAGCTTGGTTAGCAGGCTGCATCCATAGACTGCACGTGTGCATCGCACAGATACCTGCTGATTACTGTTAATGTCATGGACTCTGAAATCAGTCAATCACAGTGGGCATGGGCATCTTTTATATACAGTTTATAGCTGACCTTGTGTCTCTTTAAGTCAGGGGTGTCGAACTCCAGGCCTCGAGGGCCGGTGTCCTGCAGGGTTTAGAGCTCATCCTGGGTCAACACACCTGAATCAAATGATTAGTTCATTACCAGGCCTCTGGAGAACTTCAAGACATGTTGAGGAGGCATTTAAATCAGCTGTGTTGGATCAAGGCCACATCTAAAACCTGCAGGACACCGGCCCTCGAGGCCTGGAGTTCGACACCTGTGCTTTAAGTAATCCAGACTGGCTCCGTGATGTTGAGGTCTTTATCCTGTCTTCCTTCTCTCAGCCCAACCCAGGAGTGGGCAACTCCAGGCCTCGAGGGCCGGTGTCCCTGCAGGTTTTAGATGTCCTTGATCCAACACAGCTGATTTAAATGGCTAAATTAGCTCCTCACCATGTCCTGCAGTTCTCCAGAGGCCTGGTAACGAACTAATCATGTGATTCAGGTGTGTTGACCCAAGGTGAGATCTAAAACCTGCAGGACACCGGCCCTGCCCCAACTGGTCACAGCAGATGGCCCCGCCCCTCCCTGAGCCTGGTTCTGCCGGAGGTTTCTTCCTGTTAAAAGGGAGTTTTTCCTTCCCACTGTCGCCAAAGTGCTGCTCATAGGGGGTCATATGATTGTTGGGTTTTTCTCTGTAGTTATTAGTGTAGGGTCTAGCTTACAGTATAAAGCTCCTCTCCTTGATGCGACTGTTGTTGTGATTTGGTATTTGTATAAATAAAACTGAACTGAACTGAGGTCGGGCCATGTGTTCTTCTTCTTCTGGATAAAGATCGTTGTTCCGGACTCAGACTTCAGTCCTGGTGGACTCAAACATCCAGAGTGATCTTTTGCTGAATGTTTGCATCGATGCTAATCTTCATAGCTGCTCCTTTTAGCACAGACCTGTTAGCATCCACCAGGTATAGGTTTATGGCTACGTTCACATTCACCCCTCCATACTACCAAGTGGGAATCTGACATCAGAGGCCAAAGTGTCTGTTTGACTCTTCATCTGAAGAATAACCAGCTCTATTTTCTTGGTTTAGGGTTAGCATGTGGCTAAAATTCTAGCTAACCCCAACCTGAAGTGGTTCACCAGTTTCCTGGTTTAATTGCATTTCTTTATTTAACCGTCTTTTTGTTCGGCCATGTTTTCCTCTGTGACTCGTCTCTGTCTGCTGAACATCAGTGTTTAATGTGTGAGGCTGAATTTTCACTGTGAAATCAGTGTTTTCACCTCTGTTACAGTGAGTGTGCGCACAGTGAGTGGTTTCGATTGTGCGAACACATCGTGTCTTTATTCTGACCGTGAAACGCGCGTATCCTGTTCTGTCTTCTTATTCAGTGCTGCATGTAAAGGCTGCGGCTGTAGCAGCATCCAGCTGATAGCTCTGATAACAGGTGAAGATGCACCCACTGCTCTCTGCCGGTGTTTCTTCCAAGCAATTAAAAGTCTCACTACATCTAAGAGACGTGAAGAAATCCTGATCTCACACTGTTAAATCTGTGCTCACATTCTGTGTTTGGTGTTGATCTGGTGACTCAGGCAGCTCTGATCCATTTAAAGGGTCAGTTCTCAGACGCCGGGAGGATTTCTGTTTATGTTTCCAGGTAAAGCCGCTGAACAGTGCTTAAGTTTTCTACTTACCCCACACTGGAGGTTTCATAAGCTCTGACAGATATTGTGGAACACCCCATAAATTACAAAACTGTGAAATAAAGCCAAGCTGGTAGGGACACGCTGCACCAGAACTCCAGCAGTTTCATAATGGAAGCTCTGATTCATCCCAGATTGGGTGTGACAGAGTTCGGAGGGCTCCTCTCCGAGTCTGAGAGACAGAACGTGAAACTCTCGACGCACTGAGGAAACGCAGGCCTGCAAACACAGAAAAACCACAGGTGGAAATGTGAAACATGAACCAATATCCTGGCTTGGATCAGGTATCGTCAGTGTTTCACGTTAAAGGGTGTAGGACTCTTAAACTTACTTTTGAAGCACAGCATCCAGTAGCTTTGACCTCTTCTTCTTCCTTTGCCACCAAATGGAAAATGAAGCTAAAGATCTTACCAGCATGTTACAGACTGAGCTGTGCGCTGGTTTGAAAAGAATCTCAGTGATGCATCGATACCTGTGTCGTTGTGTTTGAATACTTCAGTGTGTCGGTTTGAATGTTTCATCATGCTGCAGCACGGCTGCATCTCTGTGAATCGCACGTGTGCAGCTCCGAATCTGTTCGCTGACGCCGTGATTGTTTTTACAGCATGGGGAACCTGATCAAGGTATTAACCAGAGACATCGACAACAACGGTGGAAACTTCTTCCTGGACTTTGAGAGTGAGACACACACACACACACACACACACACACACACACACACACACACACACACACACACAGACCTGTGTTCACGTCAGGCTGTTCAGACCTTTTCTTTAAGCTCACCTTTCACTTAGTAAACAGTAAATACAGAAAGTCTTTGTCAACATGAAGCTTTCGAGTTTCTTTATGTCACCGGGTGGGTGGGTGTGGGTGTGGGGGGGCTTCAGTGAAAGGATTCAGACTGTGTAGAAAAGCTCAGTGATTTGTGTGACTGTGTTTCAGAATCAAAGCTCGTTGTTGCTGATGCAGCGTTTCACTGCCCCGTCTGGGTTTGTGGTCACCAACATTAACAACGTGCTGCTTTTTGTTTTCAGGCCAAAGTTCAACAAAAATGTTCCTATTACATGTTTTTACACATAAAAATCTTATTAACGAGTTCTTGTTAACGGGTTGGGTTAGTAAACAGGTTAAACGCCACAGTCTGACGCACATGTGCAGATCTGTGACGTCAGGAAACATTCAAATAAGCTGTCCACCTGAGACAGTTCGACCTTTGACCCTGATCTTGTGTTTCAGACGCTCAGCCCTCACAGTCGGAGACGGACGTGTGGGAGAAGGTGAACCAGGTACTGACGGAGGCTCAGGTCATCCTGGAGGACCTGCAGTCGTACAAAGGGGCAGGAGAGGAGATACGACAGGTGAGACTGAGCACACAGACGAAGACATGCGTGTGCGCGGGCCGTTATGATTACAGCGCTGTGCGTGAGAGTGATGTCACAGGAAACGGCGTCAGTGTTCTTCCTGTTATCGTGCAGGAAAAAAGATTTCTCACTTCCAGCAGTGAGAAGAAACGTGATGCAAAAGCATATCAGGTGAAAGAGCGAGAGCTCGGAGCACACAGGCATCAAAACCTCTTTTTAGATTTGGTGTGATTTCCACTTCCTGTGGATATCGCCGTGATCTCACATGCATCCAAAATAATCTGCGTGCAGACTCCATGAAGCGTTTACGGCTTCGCCGCTGGCCTGTACGGGTCGCTCTTCGAGCGCTCCGGTTCCTCACGCCACCGTGGACACGCCAGCTTTTTGTTTCTCGTCACCGAAGCTTCAACAGAGGAGGAAAAACAAACTCGGGCTGCAGTCTGGGTTTGAGATTTTTATCAGATCCAGTCTTCCATGAACAAAGTTCCAAAATAAAAGTTGCTGACGTCGGGACGTAAACGCACCCTCTGCTGGAGCTCTTTGACTTTCCAGCAGGAAGAAGATCGTGAACAGTCTTAGTTTGGTATTTTCATCCTTGATAGTCGACTGTTTACAGGGTGGATGCAGTGACGAGTCACAGAGGTCGATAAATGCAGATCTGTGTAAAGATGTTTCAGTGTGAGGAGGATCAATAAAAGCAAACTTTGATGATGGCAGACGCAGATCTGCCCGAGAATCTGTGATATTTGAATTATGAGAATACAAGTTATAAATATGATGATTATGAGGAAGATGAGGTCTCTACTCTGAGTTCGACTTTCCTCTGATAAAGCAGATTGATCTGTACAGGTCACATGATGAAAGCGACCACAAACATCAACGTAATTTGATCAGATTCAGGAAACAGTCATAAACAAAGCAATGAGAAGACGCTGCTTCAGGAGGTTCAGTTTTTATTGTTTACATCTTTGTAAAACTGTCTGTAGTATGAGAGTGAAAGTTTAAAAAGTAAAAGGAATGAAAACCACACAAAGGAAGCCGCGGAGTAATTTCAGGTAATGATTAAGAAAAATGTTTCTGCGTTCATGAGCCAGACTGTGCTGTCAGCGATCCGAGAGAAAACAGGAACAAATGTTTCAGTGCGAGCGTGCTTTTCACTCGCTGAGCCGTAAATGTAAACGCCGTCAGCAGGAAGTGGCGAGAGCCGTCCACCAGAGGGCGATCACTGCAGCAAACAGCCGCTCCCTGTCAAACAGTGACACAGGAAGCAGCTGATTGGGTCACAGCCAACGTGAAAAAGCAGAGAAACGTGCAGGAAAGAATAATAACAACAGTGTGTGTGTGTGTGTGTGTGTGTGTGTGTGTGTGTGTGTGTGTGCAGGCGATCCAGAATCCCAGTGTGGAGGGCGTGCAGGAGAAGGCCTGGTCTGCTGTCGTTCCTCTGGTTATAAAACTCAAAACCTTCTATGAGTTCTCCCAGAAGCTCGGTAAGAACCACAGACGGCTGCTTCAGCTTCAGCACGTTTGAATATTAGAAACAAAACAAACATAAATAAATAACAATGTTCAAAAGGAGCAGGAAGAAGCATAACCTTCTTTAATAACCTTTTTCTGTTTGTGCTGCTCCTCTGTATGTATTTGGTTTCATAACCACACACACACACACACACACACACACACACACACACACGCGCACACACACGCACACACACACACATACACACACACGCACGCACGCACGCACGCACGCACGCACGCACACACACACGCACACACGCACACACACACTCACGCACACACACACACACGCACTCACGCACACACACACACACACACACACACACACACACACACACACACACAGATGCAGAAACGTTTCAGGGATGTTAGCAGCTAACGTTCACACTGTTCGGCCTGATCAAAGAGGTGCTTTCTACCGCGTCCCACAGAGACCAGCCTGCAGTGTCTCCTGGACGTCCTCACCAGCTCCAGCTCCACTCCCACTCAGCACCTGGAGCAGAAGCAGGCTCTGGCCCGGCAGTTCGCCCACATCCTGCACTTCACGCTACGCTTCGACGAGCTCAAGGTCCGCTCCCCCTCCTCCTCCTCTGCTCTTCGTCTCTGTTATTCACTGCTCATCCTCCTCTTCATGTTCTTCATCTCCTTTTCTGATTGCTCCAGATGACCAACCCCGCCATCCAGAATGACTTCAGCTACTACCGTCGCACCATCAGCCGCATGCGAATCAACAACCTGTCTGTAAGCAAACAGCTCCAAAATGCATCTGAAAATCTAAAATATGTCGCAATGATTGAACGAGAATAAAAAACCACATGAATGCTGTAAAATGACGGCCTGTATATAAAAGATGGCTGCAGCCCAGGCTGTAAATGTCTCAGAGAACAGAAGCTTCACCTCACAGGTCTCTGCAAACTTACAAATCTCACGTCTACATTGATTTAAATTCACTTTATAAACTTACAAACTGCCACTTTTTCAGTCTGAAGCAGGCAGTGAAGTCAACAACGAGCTGGCCAATCGGATGTCTCTGTTTTACGCCAGCGCCACGCCGATGCTGAAGACGCTAAGCGACGCCACGTCGAAGTTTGTCTCAGATGTAAGTTCCTGCACACTTTCACTTCTGATTCAGGGTTTCTATGTCTTCACTGCTGGAGGTTTTTTACATCCTTCAGTACCGCCCTGAAATGTTACCTGAGGGAACTTTTCTCTACTTCCTGTCTGAGTCTCCTGTTCCTGGATGCTCACATTACACATGATCTCAGTCTCTAATAACGAGGTCTGTGTACGAGCTGCAAACTGCTCCCAACACAGTTCATCTGCATGATGTCATATGGTGAGAGTGCATACTGAGGCCTCCACCCACCTACAACAGTTCAAGCAGCCGGCCAATCAGGTGAAAGCTGGCTTAAAGGCTGAGGAGCTAAAACAGAAGAATAAAGCTGCAGAGGCTCAGTATGAGATTCAGTCTGTGTACTTCAGGACTTTTTTATTTGCAGTTTTTTTAATACACAGAACTGTATGCTGGTTTTTGTTTTTATAACCCACCAGCAGAGGGCAGCCTCAGCACCGACTGTGAAAACACAGTTTGATAAACTGATTCTGATTTTTGTTGCTCAGCATCCAGAGGTGCCGATCGAAAACACGACAGACTGCCTGAGCACGATGGCCAGCGTGTGTAAAGTGATGCTGGACACACCGTAAGTCCTGACGTGTCCCTGAACACACCACGATCACCGTTTCTCTGTCATGAAGCAGATTCATGACTGTGTGTGTTTGTGCGCAGGGAGTATCGCAGTCGCTTTGCGAGCGAGGAGACCGTGTTATTCTGCCTCCGCGTGATGGTCGGCGTCATCATCCTGTACGACCACGTTCACCCAGCTGGAGCCTTCGTTAAGACCTCCAATATAGATGTAAGTTAGCACACATAACTTTTTAAAATTTTACAAATAACCCTGCACACTTCTGCAATGATCTCCTCACAGTTTAAGAAAATCACCCCCGTTGTCGTTTCCCACGAATCTGCTGAGCATGAAACCTCAGCCTGTGTCTGCAGGGATCAATCAACGTTTGGTTTTTGGTGCTTTTCAGATGAAAGGGTGCATCCGAGTGCTGAAGGAGCAGCCGCCCAGCAGCGTGGAGGGTTTACTGAACGCTCTCAGGTGTGTACTCGCCGCACAAACACATCAAAACCACCAGCACAGCCAAACAGGCTTTAAACGAGCTCCACCCTTTCACCCCTGCAGGTACACGACCAAACATCTGAACGATGAGACTACCTCCAAGCAGATCAAAAACATGCTGCAGCAAAATTAACCCGACATGAAACTGGAAGGCTGCAGGGAGGTCACAGTGTTTGGTCCGAATTTCAAAAGAACTACTGAACAAACCTTTATCTAATATTTCTGTGATTATTGTTTTAAACTGTCATTTTGAAAAAAAGCTGTTTTTGTTGTTAAGAATTTTTTTTAAAAAAAAGGGAAAAAAGGACATAAACCAAGAACAATTGGTTAAATATGAACTCGACTCGCATTCACGTCATGTGTGGTTTACAGGCCACCTGGTGGGCATTAGCAGTAGTACAGCTGACTTAATGTCTTAAATCTCTTTTGCTGGTTATTGCAAATTTACAGAAAGTCACACATGCAGAAAACATATCGGCGCCCTCTGGTGGAGGCGTTTGTTCCAGCCTAAAAGCATCCTGATGATGATGTCGCATCCACACCTCTGTCATTAGCAAAGTTTACAAAGAAGCTAGGAAAGTAAGAAAAGCCAGTGAACAGAGTGTCACTCTGGCCTTTTAGACTTCACGTTGTAAATGCAGGAAACAGAAGTAAACAGGAAAGTTCACCAGTGGCGATGATGATGATGATGGACAGCCATGTGGGTAAAATTTCAGACGCATGGAAAACCTGGAGGTCTGCCTGCAGCTGATTGGGTCTCATTCATAAAACAGAAACAATCAAAAGTGAGGTCGCAGCAGTTTGATGTCAGAGGGCTTAACAAAGTCGACCACACGACTAAAATCTCCAAGCCTGCGGAGCGAGCGCTCAGCAGGTCGTCTGTAACGCTCAGTGACGTGAATGCGAGTCGGTCGCCTTCAAAGCAGCACAGATCAGTCAGCGTCCATCTGTTTAAGTGTTTTGGTGGTTCAATCACCACTTTGGCCTCTTTTCCATCACAATTTTTTTTAAGAACCCAAGACAGCTTTTATCTGATCGAACTCCTCGGCTGTCGTTCCTCAAAGAAAAAAAAACCCTCTGTGGTTATTTTGAGGATCTATTTTCTCCACCAGTCCTCTCACACCAGCGGAACAAGATCCAAACATTATGGAAACCATCTGAAACTCCTGGAGAGGCAGATTTTATTGTCCTCTTCTGAGAATGTTTTTCCCCCTCACATTTATAAAATGAGCATTAGTATGTTTTTAGGGTCTTGAACCGCTGCTGCTGTTGTTTCCAAAATCTTTATCAAACCAAACCAACAGGCAGGAAAACCAACCCGTCACCACGGCCGTGTGTGGAGTCCTGCTCTGCACAACTCACACTTTTATTTCTTAACTTTAATGAAATGTAGTTTGTTGATGTCTGCAGTGAGGTGAGGTCAGCGGTGCAAAACGTCACAGCCAAAACTGGTTTAGCCATCTCAAACATTACAGAAGAGTTTCATCGAGCTGAGATGTTTCAGCCTGATGGAAAATCTGAGGCCTTTTCAGTGTTCTCGTTTTCTTGTTTTATGACTGTGCTGAGTTGTTCTAATTATTTGATGGTACGTTGAAGTTTCTTTGGTGGAAAAGCTTTAATTCCTCATTTGGTCCCCTGGTTTAACCAAACACACCGTTTCAAATAGTTCTCTGTGGTTTCATGTATGTTCTTTACACTCAGCTCAATTTATCTTTCATTTGTTAAGCTTAGACTGAAACATTGTTGAGGTTTGAAATCCTCTAACACAAAACTGTCGGGGGGAGGGGAGGGGCTGAGAGCGGGTATCGGCCAACCAAAGAACCACTGTGATGATGATGATGAGGAGGATGAGGTACGAGGGAAACCGAGGAGGACTTTACTTTGGGCCGGCTGACTGGAAACTTTGAGCTTCTTGTTTTGCTTTGTATGTTAGCGCTGCCGTTTCAGGGACTGTATGGCATTAAGTGTTTGAAATGATGTCTGTGTTGGCAAAATAAACTTTTTACATTTTTAAGAATGATGCGTCTGTCTCTCATGTCATCATCAAGTCCTGAGTGGGAGCGTCCACACAGCAGTTAACTAATCAAAGGTTTCAGCGTCACTCATCAGACCACAGGGGGGCGCACTAAGCAGCAGGTTTGACCTTTGTGTTCGCTGGATGACGACGTCCTTCTAAAGTCGGGACCAATGACTGTATAAAAGATGGACGACGCGACACCGCCTCCTCCCATTGTGCAAAAATGAAGCCAAAAGCTCGTGTCCAAATTCATGGGCTGCGTCCTCCTGAGGACGCATTTGTAGACAGATTACGTCACAGCGACGTGCCAAAGGCTGCATTCCTCCGAATGCAGCCGACAAATGCGTCCTCCTTTTCCCCAAATTTGAAGGATGGGTCGGGTGTGTCCTTCGTGGCCCACCATATCCCAGAATTCATAGCGCAGCCCAGCCAAACTCCAGTTTCCAACAATGGCGGCCGCTACTAAGTTTTAAAATTACTCATACTAATCTTTCTGGGTAACAAAATAAACTTTTAACATATTTTCAGGCGAGAACGTGGGCGTGTAAACTTGAAATATCTGCTCGGTTTATCAAGATTTCGCATATTTGCATAAGTGCTTTGACGTTTTCGGAGACGTCTGTTACCCACCAGCTCGATAGCGAGCCGAGAGCTCGAGAACGGCACAACTCCCGGCACATCATTTTCAGATCACCGTGGACTTTCGCTACTCAGGTTAAACGTAATATATAAGTCACTTAGACAACCTAAAAATGTTATTATTGGGCTTTTTTCAGTGTTTTATTTATTCGTGAGTAAACCGGTTTGGCTGAGATTAAAGTTATTAGAGTAAATTAGATAAAATAAAACTTTATTAATCCCCCGGGTAGGTTCCTCCTTGGTTTTTACTAGGGATGGGTATCGTTTAGGTTTTATCCGATACCAGTACCAAACCGGTACTTTTGAAACGGTGCCGGTGCTTAAACGGTGCTCAAACCGGTGCTTAAAGAATGGAGAACACAAAATTGGTCCAAAAACCTCTCATGTTCAGCTGGTTTTTTTGTAAAAAGATAACAATGTTAGCCTTTTCTGCAGCTATAGGGCATATATGGCATCACTCTTGGCTGGAAGCAGTGCTTAAACAATGGAAAAAAACCACACACTTTATCCAAAAACCTCTGTTTATGGATAAAGTGTGTGTTAAACATGAGAGCTCTCATGTTCAGCTGTTTCCCTCTTCTTCTTTGGTCATTTTAGCCTTTTTGGGCAGGGTGAAGGGAGTATCTGCCATCAAACAAGAAGACAGCTGCATGTAACTACCACGGTGTTTGCTAGTTCACCTTACATGCATTAATGTAATAACGTGGTTAGCCTACTCAACGTAAATTACACACGAACAACATTAAGCTACTCACGCAGAGAAGAACGGCTGCTGCTGATCTTCACCAGCAGCTCCCTCACAGGGAAATCTTCAGCACTCCTCCGTAGGCCCGCCCCACGAGATGGATAAACCCAGCATTTCATTCAATTCAATTCAATTTTATTCATATAGCGCCAAATCACAACATAAGTCACCTCAAGGCGCTTCATAGATACATGATTCATAGATTCATGAACACTGTGATGGGGACCTTTGGTTTGTGTAATGTTATAAATACTCAGATACTCCCCAGAGGCTCCGGATTTTTACATAAAGATATTATATTCAGTCCTGTAGAAAGTTGTATATTTAAAAACACATGATCCTCTCTGAATCACTTTATGGTAAATAACACTATCTGCAAAACACTGAAAGAATTCCAGATCACAAGTTTGTAGTTCAACATACAAGTGACGACCTTTGACCTTCATCAGGTTTTATTTAATTGTGTCAGAGAAACTCAAACGTGCTCTTCATGCAGTTGAGTACATGAAGTGTTTAAAACAGAAGCTGTGCAGGTCTGAGATCAACAGCTCTGTGAAACACCAAACTGAGGTCCTGTTAATGCTGATATATAGTGACACAGTTACAGGGGTGATTAATCCTTTTGTTTTTTTGTCTTTAACTTTATCAATAAAACAGTGTGGTACTTTAACCTTTGCACTGTTTCCATCAGTTCATTTTGCAGTTAACACGTGAACATGTTGGATGATCTGTCTGCTGTCACTGGTGGTGCTGAGGTCTGAATCTGAGGGCAGCTCCTGTAATCACAAAGAGAACAGAACCATCACAAACTCAAATATAAAGTTTATCCCTCAAAATTGAAATAAAGCTGATTCTTCTGTCCTCACACACTCAGGATCTGAAGCTCTTCTCTTACATTTTTTCAGTATTACAGTACACTACAGTACTTTAATCCATAGTTCCTGAGTAATGAGGAGCTACTGAAGTACAAGCTTTTAAAAAATTGTTACTGTCTTTACAGATGTGGCAAGAGACTGAAAACATGTGTTGTTTGCACATATTTAATATTCAGCTCTGCACAGGAGCTGTAGCAGGATGCAGCCTGTTGCTTTTACAGTATAATACTTGTAATAAAAGTATAGTAATGATAATTAGTGACTGAGCAGCTTGATTTCTTTAGTCAGGGTAAATTCATTCACCTGCACAGATTAGCTAAACGAACCCTGACAGCCGAGTGCTCATCTTAACTAGGTCTCAGGACCGAGCTAAGGACAGTAGTTACGCATTAGCTTACAAACACGTTTAACTTACCGAAAAAGTGCAGCAGGGCCTCGGGTCCTTCTGTCGGTAGTCCAGTTTACTGAAGAACACCTCAGGCTGTCAGGTTAAAACACTGGGTCGTGTTTTCGTAGCGTAAACGCTGGCCCTCCTCGCAGAGCCTACGCTCTATCTGCTATTCGCGAACAGAGATACGCAAGTTTCTCCGTGACTGCAGCTGTCAGTCAAAGCTGTTATGATGATGTTTCACCCCAATTTAACACAATGGCGGTAGGAAGTAGAATCAAACTCATGGGAAAGGAGACCCCTCGGACATCAATCAGCGTGATGAGAACTATTGAAAACAAAAGAAAGAATCTTTGGAAAAAAAATTATCTAAGGGGAATTAATCTATTTTAGTCTGACCCCAGCCCCATCCGCTAACATGGTGGAGGCGGGGTTTATGACTTATACTGCAGCCAGACACCAGGGGGCGATAGAGACGTTTTGGCTTCATTTCTGGGGAGCTGTTGCGTCGTCCATGTTTTCTACAGTCATGGTCGAACCTGCTCCTGATTAAAAGTTTTTTTTCTCAAACACAACTCGTTAATTTTGCTCCGTGTGGAGGGAGGAGAATGCTGTAACTATAGCGACAAACATTACTTCACTTGCACCAAACAGTTTAATAGTTTAATAAAATGTTTAAATTGTATATTTGAATTAAACATTCAGACATTTACTCCTCGCAGCTAAAGTCATGCACTGATCTCAAACACTGAAACAAGTCTCTTATAAAAACCTTCAAATTTTAAACGTTCCCAGGAAACATGAAGACGTTCTGCATGAATGCCAAGGCTTCTAAGCGCTGAGCGTTCACTGCAGGCCGCACGCTGTGGTGAGATCTAATAAACTTATAAAGCATATTGATGACATGGAGCAGAGCCGCAGGAAGCACCAAGGAATAAAGGTGACCACAGAAGAAGTTCTGGGAAAGAAGAGTGAAGATTAGTGAGCAGCAGCGGTGTCACGTCAGCAGCAGGTGGGCCGTTTGCTCCGAGCGCGCTGATGGACGGAGACAGGAGCTGAAATGTGTCTCTGTGGAGAAACTGGAGGTGTGGTATCACATACAGATACAGCGCTGCTTGCACCACAGGTGTCTCGAAGTAATGCAGCAATGATGTAAAGTGCGACTTTCTTCAGGGACTTTTAAATAAGCGAGGACGTGCAGACAGCATACTGGATTTTTGGAGTAACGACCCCAACAATGTTAAAGGTGGGCCTGTCAGGTGGGAGGAGCCAAGAACATGCAGGTGACGGAGACTGAAATGTGGTGACTCCTAACAGGCAAAGCTACAGTACACAGCAAAATAACCTAAACAGTGGAATAAACACAGGTAACAGAATAACAGAGGCTCACAGCAGCCTTACTGTGGGATATCTCACACACGCCTGCTGTACAGTTTCCGATGCTCTCTGTGTGACGGCGAGCTCACACATCACAAACAGATGTTTAAATCCAGACGTTTATCGGGCCTGGTCTGCCGGGTAATTCTCCCCCACAGGTGCTTCCGGGCTTTGTTTCCGACCTCTGTGAGTCCTTGTGTGAATTTTCAGCTTGGATGGGTCTTTAAATCGTTTCTCGCAGGTGCTGCAGGAGTAAGGCTTCTCACCTGTGTGTGTCCGCATGTGATACAGCAAATGGATGTTCTGGATGAAACCTTTTCCACAGGTGTTACAGATGTACGGCTTCTCGCCCGTGTGGATCATCACGTGCTTCTTCAGCGCCGTCAGTTCGGTAAACCTTTTCCCGCAGGTGTTGCAGACGTACGGCCTCTCACCTGTGTGGGTTCTTATGTGGACCATCAGGCCTTTCCTAGAGCTGAGACTTTTCCCACAGGTTTGGCAGCTATAAAGTTTCTCCCCTGTGTGGACGGTCATGTGGTTTTTCAGCGCCGATAAGTCTGTGAATCTTTTCCCACAGGTGTTGCAAAGGCACGGCTTCTCACCTGTGTGAGTTCTCATGTGGACGTTCAGGTTACTCGGCTGACTGAAGGTTTTCTCGCACAGTTTGCAGGAATACGGCCTCTCGCCCGCGTGGGTGTTCGTGTGGACTTTGAGGTTGAAGCTACTGTTGAAATGCTTCCCGCACGCCTCGCAGGAATACGGCTTCTCACCTGTGTGGATTCTCATGTGGACCAACAAACTGTAGCTGCAGGTGAAATGTTTCCCGCAGGTTTCGCAGGAGTACGGCTTCTCGCCGGTGTGCGTTCTCATGTGGACGGTCAGATTGCTGCTTTGGCTGAACCCTTTCCCACACGTTGTGCAGGAGTACGGCCTCTCGCCCGTGTGGATCCTGTGATGTCGCTCCATCTGCGACTTGTGTTTGAAAACCTTTCCGCAGAAAGCGCATTTTACTGGCTTTTTACCTGCAACAGTGTTGCAGTTATCCACATCACTGTGACCTCTGTTTCTGAACTGTTTCTTCCCTCTTAGCTTGATACTCTTTCCTGACTCAACATTCCCGCTCCCTTCCCGATCTCGGCTCTCAGTTTCTTGAGAGCTATGAGAGAGGAGCTGCTCACTGATTGGTTCTGATTCACTGTGGTCGCTTTCACCGTAAGTAAGAGTCACCATGAAGGTGTCCGTCTCCTCCTTCAGTCCCAGCTGCTCTCCCTGCTGACTGCTGCACAGTTCCTCCTGCTCCTCTTTAATCTGTGGAGGTTCTGGTTCCTCCTGCTCCACACTGGAGCTCCTCTCCTGGTCACAGAGCTGCTGCTCAGGGAGAACCTCCTCCTCCTCCTCTTTACAGACGTACTGCTGTGGGACGTCTGGAGGGACACAGAAAGGTTTGTAGTGTGATTACAGGAAAAGTAAAAATATTCTAGAATCTAATTGTGATTAGAGATGAAATGTCAGATTATTTGGATGCACCTGAGAAACAGCTGCTGAAGGCTGACAGAGTCCTTCAGCTCAGGGTGAGGAGAGCCCTTTTGTACATGGAGTAGTTTAGGGTCTTTTTTCCAGGTATTAATAAAAATATTTTGTTTTGCCCTAATTTAACCTCCTTGAATCATTCTTCCTTGCAACTTCCTGAGGAGTTTTGTAACATCATAAAAACATTTATCTCTTCATAAACGTTAAAAGCAGAGACGCGCTAACTTGAGCCAGCTGTTAGCGCAGTGAGACGCTGGCTTCAGCTGTCTGCTGATGCACGTACTGATAAACTGGACACCTCAGTGTACAGAGACCCAAACATTAGGCTAAAAACATAGAACGCGTGTTTCCATCACTGGCTTATTTATTTTTAATGTGAAAGTGTTTCCTGTTATTTACAGTCTGGTTACTTTGTCCTGTCTCAGCTCCTCACACTGAGGTCTGTTATTAGAACAGGCCGACGCAGCTTTGCCTGCACCATTAAATAATATCGGTACAGGTTTTGGTGTGATAACTGTCACCATATCAGTGACACAGACATATCATCCTGTATTTACATTCCCTGTCTTCCCTTCCCAACATCGGCCACAAGCGCAGACATGCCGCAGAGAGCAGCAAGAAGCGGCTCCACCGAGCGTCGCTGGAGCGCTCGCTCGACCCAACATCTGCTTGGAAAATCAGTTTCAGTTTGATTGTGTGACAACAGTGAAGCTCTGTGGAGTCACAAAGGTTAAGGTACTTTAGTTACTGTGAAACTGAAGCTTTATGCACTTATTTTATACTTTTACTTAAATATTTCCATTGAAAACAGCCTCTGCTGATATTGTGCTGCATCACTGCAGATAAAGCTGTGTCACCATTGTTACACTGTAATGATGCTGCTGGCACTTTGTGACAGTTGATTCCTGCTTTGACTCAGATCATCAGTAAGAGAAGGATAGAAATGAATTTTCTATGTTGTCATAAAATCATCATCACACATTTTTTTCACTGTCGTGATAGAATCTGTTGTTTATGAGGCAGAAGAAGCATCTCACAGTAACGCGGCTCTGTCAGAGCCAAAGGGACCAAACCACAAACTGATAACATCAGATCCCCGTCAGCAGGCAGACTTTCACAGTAAAATGTTCATTTGTGGAGAAATAAGTGAAGCAGCTTTCAGGACGTGGAGCTGTGATGTGTGCTAAAGTCAGATTACTGTGCAAATGCACGTAAATCAAAATCAAATCAAAATCAAATCAAAAGGAAATTGTTAAAGTAAAAATATTATATTTAAACTTTTGATTTTTCCTGAATAAAGTTTTCTAGAGATTTGAAACAAGACTTTTTTGATTGACTAAGCAAAACTGATATTGGGTTTAAAAAAGCTAAAATCTTGTCCACTCTCTGCTTGTAGCCGTGTGTCTTATATGTGCTAGGAGGGTCTACTCTAAGGCTACGTTCACACTGCAGGCGAAAGCGCATCAAATCCGACTTTTCTGACCCTGTGCGACCCATATCTGATCACGCTTTGACAGCGTGAACGGCGCAAATCCGATATTTTCAAATCCGATCTGGGTCACTTTCGTATGTGCTACTGAAGCCGAGACATATCTGATGTTTTAGAAAGCGACTGCTGTTTGATGGTCACGTCGCATTAAATCCGTCTTTTTTACGTCACTGACACAAGACAGACGCCGATTATCAGCGCCGGAGAAGACATCGTGAACACTTCCTGTCCATCCAGTGAAACTGTTGGGAAGACAACGTTGGAGAAACGTGAACATTTTCTTTGTACTGTATAATCTGCAGATTCTGACAGAAATCTGCAGCTATCCTTTGAAGCAGCGCTCCTCTGAAACAGCAATAAGGATCATTATTAGGCCAAATGTAGATAACACAATAACTTTATGACTTAAAGCAAAATTGGGAAACGTAATATTAAGGGCCATCAGTCAAACAATACTGTTTACTCTGGGTGTAAACAGAGCGCGTTGTGTGTGACGTCTTCTTTTGCGCATGCGGCTGCTTTGAGCGTTCACACTAGAGCGCGTTTGCTGTCGCATTTTATTTGTAGTTTGAACAAGCAGACAGAAAAATCAGATTTGATTTAAAAATCGGAATTGAGCATTAAGACCTGCAGTGTGGACGCAGCCTTAGTTCGTACTCCTCACCCTGTGCTCCTACACATGTAAGACACACTCGCTTCATTAGGACCACCTCAGCTTCACACACCTATTCTGTGTAACTTGATTTCAGGTTTCCAGATGACATCCAACGGTCTGCACTGATGTCTGATGTCTCCCTCACACTGCATGGTATTTTTTTCCAAAACCAGTGTGAAGGTATCTGTCTCCTCCTCCAATCCCAGCTGCTCTCCCTGCTGACTGCTGCACAGTTCCTCCTGTTCCTCTTTAATCTGTGGAGCTTCTGGTTCCTCCTGGTCCACACTGGAGCTCCTCTCCTGGTCACAGAGCTGCTGCTCAGGGAGAACCTCCTCCTCCTCCTTACAGACATGCTGCTGTGAGACGTCTGGAGGCACAACAATATTTTTAAAAATGTAATAAATTAATCTAAAATAATTATAAAAGCAATTTCTTATTTTATGTACTAACACTTCGAATAAACGATGGAAAATGTCTTTGTTGTAGAAGGCAACGAGTAACAGTAATAACTGGAAAAAATACGACAAAGCTAAATGTCTCAAAATTAGACAAAAGAACAGATTTCAGTTACACAGAAAAAACAAAGAAGCAAAATAAAATAGAGCAGGTCTCGATTGAGAAAATGCTGTGGCTCCCTGACCAGGAGAGGGCGCTGCACGCCGAGAGCCGCGACCTGAGCGACGTGGCTTCACACTTGGCTGTGAACCACACCAGTGTGAGCGGAATATTCATGTTTGTGTGGACAAAGGGCCTGACAGTGGGTGGAAAAACAAAACAAAACCAAAAATAAAGATTTTCCAGTAATTATTTTCGGTGTTCAAACTTCGTATCAAACGTTTTTAAGGCAGCGAGATGGTTGAGCAGAAACTGTTCTAAACATGTGATGACTTCAGCTGCAACGAGCCAGAACTGAAGCCTTTCAATGGTAAAGGTTTGCTGCTTTCTCTGCAAGCTGCTTTGTAACCCGCCTCCTCCTTCCAATAACATTTCCATGCTGTATGAAAACATCACGTGTTCCTGTTCCGCTCCATCGAGCTCTGACTGCGCATGTGTACGCGGACAGTCGTGGACAATAATAAACGAATAAAGCCGCAGAGCTGAAATTTAAGTTCCGGCTTACAGGGACTGTTTCTCTGACTGAACAGATCCTGACTGAAGCAAACATAAACACGCGTCACACAGACAAACAACAATGAATGACATCAGACAGACTGCTAAAAACATTAATGCTGTCACGGCTGTCTTTGTCCAGCTGACATCACTTTCCCCTGACAGTGTCGTCACCTCTGTGAGATGAGCTCATGGCTTTTGTATCTGTTTTCCTGGACTTTAATCCAACGCAGAGCTGTGATGAGAATGAGTCAGCTTCATGTGAGACTCACCTGTGCTGTGCGGCTTTATGTCGGGTTTCCAGGTGATGTCCAGCAGTCTGCGCTCATCCAGCTCTCCCTCTGCGGTTTCCGTTATCCTCTCCTTCTTAAACTCTGTCGCACACTCAGGAGAGGACATTTCTACTTCAACAGCTGAAATATTCCATCAGAGATACAAACACGGAAACATTTTCCTGTTTTTAGTTCTCAGGTCTTCGAGCTAACGCTAGATGCTAACGCTTTCATTGTTTACATCCGGCAGATGTCACACTCTGAGGTTCCGACGGTGATACTGTCGGACTTTGGTTCCGCTCTTTTCCCCGCAGGGTGCAGAAGTCCCAACTGCTCGGTGTTAGAAATAAAATCCCAGCAGCAGCTTTACACTAAACACAGATGTTATATCTGTATGTATATATGTGTTCAAATGTTATGATTTCAAACCAAATATAAAAGCTCCGTTTATGGAACTGGTGTGGGATGTTGAGGAGGAGTTATACTGTGGACTGCCAGTTGGCGCCGTATAGTTATTACATGACTTTGGTTTTTTAGAATTCTCAGGCTGGTTTCATAGATTAAAACTTCTCAGCTGGTTCCCCAGTCTCTGTGTCCTCCTCTGGTGTCTGTCCATCTGTTTGATAGCTGGTCTCCTGATGGAAAAGGAGCTCTCTTCCTTTCTTTTACAGACAGCAGACGTAAGATGTGTGTCAATGAGAGGGAGACGAGTGCAACGGTGAAGCTGTAAGGATCAGAGCTAGTAAAGGTGGATGAGTTTAAATTCCTGGGGTCAAATATTCAAAGCAATGGACAGAGAGGTGAAGAAGAGGGTGCAGGCAGGGTGGAGCAGGTGGAGATGAGTGTAAGGGGGACGTGTGGCAGTAGGACAGCAACAAGAGTAAAAGAGAAGGTTTATATGACGTTAGTGAGACCTGCTCTGACGGTTTGGAGGCGGCCGAGCTGGAGATGGCAGAGGCTCTTCACTGGGAGCGAGCAGGAGCACAGGATCAGCTAAAAGGAGGTGAAGAACTCCGTCAGCACAACACACCTGTTTTGTAGAGCAACATAACAACACTGACACATTTTAATCACACAAGAAAACAAACCAGCCACATGTTTTTGTCATATCAAACCACAATGACCACAAAATGATGACGTGGTTTGTAAACATTCTGCACACACACACACACACACACACACACACACACACACACACACACACACACACACACACACACACACACACACACACACACACACACACTCCTCCTCCTCCTCCTCCTCTGCTGCACCACCCCTCTGTGACCCTCCTCTGAGGTCTTTGCCTTCTCCAGCTGTTTGGCAGCTGATACCAAGTAACACAGGGACCAAACCAATACTTTGACCCTATGAAGGCGGCGTATGTGGGAGAGCAGCGTGTCGGGATGTCTGGGCTGAATCATGACCAATTTGTAATTTCTGATATTGAGGCTGGATTTTTGGGAAATGTGTTTTTTATGCAAATGTGTCTGTAAAGCACTTTGGATCAGCTGCTGTAGTCTGAATGTGACATAGGCTTTAAATAAAACAGACGTGACAGTCGACACAAAAAGGGTCAGATGTTTTCCACAGTGCTTGTTTGAGGTTTTTGTGTCATTAAAAAGAAAAAAGGTTTAACATAAATCAGTGGGCTCCATACTGAACTGAGAAGAAAGAAACGTCTTGTGCTGGTATTGATCTGATACCAGTATCTGGACTGCTACTATTGATATTTGCGCCTGTATCTGCTGGCAGCTCCATCTTCATCATCCTGTGTCCGGTGTATCCTCGGTCCCTGCTCTGCACATGTCAAACCGTCTCAGTGTGTCTCTAACTTTGTCTCCAAACCGCTCGACCTGATTCTGTTTAATCACGAGTCGTTTACAGCTACAGTAATGAGCAGTGCAGCCTGTAGGGGGCACTTCCACGCCTCACTGGATTTCAGACTGCTGCTAATGTGTTCAGAGAGGGACGTGGGCGGGAGAGGAATGCATGTTATCTTGACTGAGATATTTGAATGAAATCTTATCTTTATAGTGAGAGTGTAAAGATTAGATAAAGTGCGTGGGTTGTGAGCGTGTGTGTGTTTCAGAAAGAAAGACTTCCTGCGTGTTTGACGTGTCTCATCGCAGATCAAAGACACTTTTTATGAAGCGTTTGTAGAAGGAGGAGAGAGCACGCCCATGTCCTGCTGAAGGGATCAACAAGTGCTCTGACACATGAAACAACCAAACTCTCGTTAATGTTTCTGTGTGGCCTCTAACCGCCAGAACCACGGGACACACGTCAACCAGTCAGCTGACTCTGAGGGAGTCAGGTGGGAGACACCCACTACTGCTTAATTTAAAGATGACAACATCAAGCTATAGAAACAATGCAGCACGTGTACTGCAGTAAACCAGATGACTGATCTGTGCGTTCAGGGGCGACAGAACCTGGACCCGACGCTGCAGACCGGTTCCCCGTGCAGGGACAGAAGATCGTGGTCACTTCCTGTAAAATAACTTCATGACAGTTAAAATGGAAAAAGAAATCTCTGATCAGTTCACGGCGGCCTGCAGGGGCAGATGGAGGCTGTAACTCACTTTCCACTGAGATAAAGTCAAACCTCGGGGATATTTCCCTTTCCTGACTCCTTTTAGGTCAACTATTATTATCACATCAGGCACGATTTCCTTCAGCTGTGGCAATTAAAAATAAGCCCGAGAGTGGTTTGTATTATCAGCCTCACAGATAATAAAACGCTCACGCAGGTGGAGCAGCTCCCACTGCTGTGGAGTCGCTGCAGTCTCCATCAGCGCTGCTCTTCATCTTTATTACAGGAATGTGATGATTTTAGGCATTTTAAAAACGTGTAGAATCTAAGAAACCAGATACATCATCAATAATCATATCCAACCTTTTCTTTTTAGCTCTCATGATCCGCATAATCAATAAAAATAAAAAATTAAAGAAGCAACTTCAGACTCTTCACGCTTCGGTTTTTTGCTCTTTTGTTGGAAAATCTCCATTTTTGCAAAAAACATGCAAAACAGCATCAATATCAGGATCCGCACGAACCGTGGGAAGAGCCAAACCACACGAAAGCAACACAGAAAAGGTAAGGCACGCTTGTAATGTCAGTGGAGGCGTGAAAAAAAAAATGATAAGCGGCGGAAATTTAGTGTTTTAAATGAGTGAAGTGGAAAAATCTAGTCAGATACTTCATAACACCTGGGCCAGAAGTTGTACTGGACAAAACAGGCAAATGGTGATCACCTGCTTCAAAACACTGTGTGTGAATGATTTTATACAGCGTGGAGCTGTGAAGGAGCCACGCTAGCACTTTAACAGGATGCAAACACTTACTGTTGATTTGGCTCCTTTGTAACATGTAACCTGTATTTGTCTGTTAATAAAAGGTAACGTACACCTGGACCGGTGGTTGCAGGGTTAAAACCAAAGGCAAAATGATTCACACCTGCAGCCAGATTGGAAACACCTGTTAACCAATCATACTTATCTTTGGACTATAGAGGCCGGAGAACCCAGAGAGAACCCAGAGAGAACCTGGAGAGAACCTGCAAACAGGCTGAACGATCCAAACCCAGGACGTTGTTCTTGTGAGGTGTCACTATCGCTGGATTCTGATTTGATTCATTTCTATGAACAAATTATTTTTGGATCCCAATGTGCATCCTTCTAGTTATTAAGGAAGGGCTGAAGTGAGGAAATAAGGAAGTGATGTTCTGGTTTTTCCATGTAAGAGAACTCGAACAATCTATTTCCAACAACATGAGGAACGTGAGCTTTCTACTCGAGGAACTTATTTTATTCAACAACCATCTCTGTCCCTGAAACCGCTCGTGTGCATTCATTAAACTTCACTGTGACACAGCACACCTGCTGCCCGTGTTAGGAGTTCCTTCCTGCAGGTCGGTGGGATTGATGTTGGAGTGAAAAAGGAAACCGCTCCATCGTTTGAGTGATAAAACCGCACAGCATCGTGGGTAAACAGGGGACACGTGAAGGCTTATCAGCTCAGCAGTTCGATCTGTCAGGTGGGGAGTGTTACTTTTAGTTTTGTGGGTTAACCAGACGGCAGCTGTGTGATAAGATACTGCAAACACTAACACGACTGTTTTCTTTTCATCTTAACGTCCTCGTTTCTGTCAGTGACTCACAATTTACAGCTAACTGTTACTGGCCCACAGTTCACCAGTGCCTCCTGCAAAACACACCAGTAACACTGTGAACAGGATTCAAAGCTCTGCTGCATGAAGTGGTTTTCATTAAATCTCCCAAACACCTGCATCCCTCCTTTGTTCCTGTACTTTTGTGGGTCCAGAGCAGCGAGGTCTACAAAACCGATGAGCTTCACAGGAAAAGATCGCAATAATAAAATCGTTTTTGCACGTACTGTATACAAAAGATGGACGTGATTACTGCGGCATCACTCATTGATTTTGGGCCTCAACCTGAACATTTTGGCCAACTGAGCTGAAAGCATGCTAACGCTCATTAGCATTGTTAGCACTGACTATAAAGACGGTAATTAAATTAATAAAAAATTGAATTTCACTCAGAGAAGCTGGAGCTCAGACGTCTTGGCCGGCCTGTTATTCCCATTAAACTCACAGCAGCCATATTATTGGTCACATGACTCATTAAAATCTCCAACAGCACAAACGCGTGTCCAGTTCAGGGGTGCAGTTAGCAGCTACAGCCGCCTGCGTTGGTTAAACTGAAGCTTGGCAGCCCGATGGTTCTCTGTTTGGTTTTGTGGCGTTGAAGCTTCAAGGTTCTTTGTCTTTATTTGCCTTTGCAGCCACAAAACAAAAAATGTCCACCTCAGAAGTTGGAGCTGGAGGCTGGGGCTCATGTTCTGTGGTGCTGTTATTTTTACTCCGAGTTTCAGTCAGTGTCCTTATATTTAGTTATTTTTCCGTCTTCATTATCACGGAGTTTGGTTTGGGCTGAATCGCTCGAGTTTTTTTCCCACTTTGCTAGGTCAGCAAATCCTGCCCCAAGAATAAACATGTAGTTTAGTCACAGTGACACATTAATGTAAAAATACTGCATTTTGTGCAGCAGTGAAGCTGTTCCACATTTAGCAGCCAGACTGGGCCGTCTCCGACTTCCCTATTGTGGCCGTCAGCTCCAAGCCGACTGTTCTGACTCATTAGTTTAATGGTCCTCTTTACATGTATATCAGCAGGTGCATTGTTGGAGCCCATTAACATTTATTGTTCTGGGATCTGTGTTTTCTCTGGTTCTGGGATGAAGGGACGGCTG